AATTTATAGCACTTTCGAAACAACAAAATGGACAAGAATATAAGGCTCATTCACTGAAACTAGCTCTTGATTCAATTAACCGTTTTTTAGTAAAATCATCAAAAATATCAGGAATAAATTTACACAATCGATATGAATTTCCTGATATCTATGATGTTTTACATGGAAAAATGAGAGATTTACAAGAAAAAGGGCTTGGCGAAATTCAAGGTGCTCACGCACTTAATCCAGAAGAAGTTAGACACATCCTTGAACATGAATCAATGACAATTTCAACACCAGAAAATTTAATCTATCGAATATTTTTCTGGATAGCTATAATATTCGCATACCGTGGTGGTGAATATTACTATATTAAAGCTAATCAATTAAAGCAACGGGAAGATGGCGGATTTAATTTTATTAGATATGTTGCTAAAAATAATCAACGAGGTATTAATGGAGGGAATGCACAAATTATTCCAATACCTGCAGATCATCCTGGCACTCAGGGCCCATGTTATGATTTCCAATTATATCTTTCTAAACGTCAAGCTGATGCAAATGATCACCTGTATTTACAAGTTAACCCAAAATGGAGAGAAACTAGTATTTGGTATAAAAAGAAACATTATGGTCTAAATCGGATCAACAAGTTTATGAAAGAAATTGGACAACGTACTAAAATTACTGTACCTGAGAATTTATTATCGAATCATTCTGGAAGAAAGACTGCAACACAAATCTTACATGATAATGAAATTCCAGAACAAACAATAATGGATATTACTGGGTATCGTAGTGTGCAAGGGGTCCGAGCCTATAAAAGAACCAACGAGCTATAAAAATTAATGGGAATGTCAAGTTTAATTTCTCTTTACGATCCTAATTTAAGCAATTCGTCTAAAGAAATCCAACTGTCTCAAGAAATCAAACCAATCAATTCATCTCAAGAAATTCAATCTATCAACTCGTCTCAAGAAATCCAACCTATTAACCCATTTCAAGAGATTTCAACTAATTCATCTCAAGAAGTTCATTCAATCAACATAGATCAATCGAATTCTATCCAGATATTTGATAACATGCAACGTGGAAAAGAAAATCAAAATGGAATACCTAGCTTTTACAACTGTCATTTTTCGAATGTCACATTTAACTTTAAATAGAGAATTATTTACAAGCATCACATTTTAATTAGTTTTACTAATTTCGTATAACAAATTTATTTACATTATGATGTTATTATATATAACTACTATTTGTAACTGAGAATTATTGATAATTAATAAATTCTGCTATATAAAAATTGCCGTGGCAATTTCGAAAAGATATACCACGGTAATTTGTC